CAGTCAACAGACAAGAAAATAAGTTAATTTCGTTTCCCTTGAAATGTTTAATTATTCTCAGAACAAAATTATAAACAGAATGTGCTTAAAATGCAACAGGATATAGTTTTACAAATTCCTCGAAAGTTATAGAATTAATTTGAAATTTGTTTATACATATTTTATTTATTAACATATTTGTAAAATCCCCCACCCACTTTGACTTCGATACTGCGTATAACCCACGCATGTTGATTATTGTGAAAAGTGGAAGATATATATACGTACCATAATTACAATTTAGAATGATAAATTAATATCTAAAATTAAAATTAATTTACTGGAAAAGGTCATTTAATAAGAATTTTCGAAGGATAACCTTACAATACTAACAAAATGGTTTCTGTGTATTATATTTATAGATATCTATTCTCTGTACATGTTAAGAATAAATGTTTAGGGAATTGTGATTGGGATGAGTTCTTTCATTTTTTATATAAAACGAATAACAAGCCTTGAAAAGCTAACAATGAAGTAAAGTGCAGTTATACACATAAGTGTAATTAGTAAAACCAAATAAAGATATATTTTTTTACGTTAAAAGTATGACAATGTTGCCACCTTATGCACAAATATTATTATTAGTCGTATTCCAACAGAAGCTTAGACTTGTTGCACAGAATCTTCAACTATTTGTATCTAAAGCAATATAAAGTAATTTATTTAAAGATTTGTCAGCTTCATTTGTTATCGCTCTTCTCCAGATGTTACATAGTCTTCCTCTGTTTCTGTTGCCTTGGGGGTTCCATAGAACTGTTGCGTGGCATTTTTCGTTGTACGACTTTCGAAAAGCATGGCCAAGCAAATTATATTTCGAACGCTTGACTTGTTTTTTGATATATTCTTGGTTTGTTCGTTGAAGTAGTTCCATATTTGAAATTCTACTTCGCCACCAAATTTTCAAAATATTACACAGGCATCTGTTGGTCTAGCTTTGGATTACATAGAGGCATTGTAAACATGAATTTTTGTTTAAAGAGATATTTCATTTGAATTCCATATACTATGAATGCTATTCTGGCTTTTGATATTCTTATATCCAAATTTCTTGTTGCGTCTCAATGTGTCTTAACGTAGTTACCCAAATAGCAGAACTCATTGACGTACTCGATTGATCTACCCTCAGATATGTACAGATAGCAACATACAAATTTATTATATATTATATCGTAAATACATCATTTATAATTTATCCCCTTCTTTTACGAGTATTTCGATATTCATCTGATTGATAACAGTTACTTTTACAAATCACCTCTCAACTTGCTTTAGTGATTCGTTTCTGAATAATCAACCGTATTCAAGTTCTATATTGATAACAACCGTGTATTCAATTTACCACAGTTTTTATTGTCTTTTCAAAACACTGATGACTGATTATATAGCCAAAAGACTTACAAACATATCTTTAATTGAATCTGAACTCTTTAAAATTACCTGGAATGATAGAAATATAAATTTTCCGAACGCCATTTTCCATATCAAGCAAAACAATCCTATATTTAGATAAAGGTAGATAAAGCTAGATAAACTTAAGGATTCTAGCTTG